CTTTAAAAATATGGTTTTTGTTTACAAAAGACTTGTAATTTTCATTGAAAGCTTGCCAAATCTTTTGAAGATACACAAAACATATCAAAAGTTATAGTATGGAAACTTTTCATAGAAATAAATAAAAACCCTATAACCCGAGCGCTTTCAAAAGGTGGACCTTTCTTCTTCAGGTACACTTTTTGAAAGCGTTTGGGTTATAGGGTTTTTATTTATTTCTATGAAAAGTTTCCATACTACAACTTTTGATATGTTTTGTGTATCTTCAAAAGATTTGGCAAGCTTTCAATGAAAATTACAAGTCTTTTGTAAACAAAAACCATATTTTTAAAGTATTTTTACTGAAAATTTGTCTATGAATATATGAATTTAGAGTTTTGACTGCTCTTTGTGCAAATTAGTTTCCATGCTAACATTAAAAACACTTTTCTTCATCTTAGAATTGTCAAATATCATTTGCATCATCTCTAAAACCTTCTAAATAAATATCAAATGGTTTTGTTTTTCAGTAAAACTTCATATTTAATCTGCTATTTTTGCGACTCCAATTTTATATGCGTTTGGTCAATTTGATAGATTAAAACTTTGGCTTTCTATTGGTTATAAATAATATAAAACATTGGAAAGAACTATTGGCAATTTGTGAAATAGAGGATGTGGCAAGCAGGCATGGTAAATGAGTCTGAAGTTATAATTTACCTAAATGAAAATGTATTTCCAATAGGTACTTCCTTCTGCTCACAAGATTAGCTTTTCTCGTTCTAACACGTCTCTCATGCAAATTATTATGTGTCACCTCTCCACCAATACGAGAGCACTAATATCACATGTCAACTACATCCAAAACCTCACTCACTGGGTACCGACATCCTCAAGTCCCAGAGTCAAGTGGGAACCTAACATTCAACTCTAGGAACTCACAGGGTAGCTTGATGCCAGGGAATGTGTCATCCGGAATCCCAGGGAAGTCCATCGCATGCACTCAACCCCCACGACCGTGAAACCAGCCCAAAACAATCCCAGGTTGGTAACAACCTCATCATCCAATGAGGGAAAATCCAGGAAAGAAGCAGAAACAGGCCACATAGACCTTCTGTGACCCACAACACAGAAGACAAATAGAGAGGGGAAGATGGACAACTCGAAACCTATGTTAAGACTTATGTGATTGGTTCATTCAATCTCCAAAACCTCACTTGCTGGGCACCAACATCCATGCGAGGGTAGGAGGAGGGCGACAAACGATCAAAATCATCATCAGCCTGGACCAGCTTGAAAGGCTCAGGAGGAAGTGGGGCAGAAGTAGCCAAAAGAGGTTGGCTCATATACCACTCAATCTCCCGGCGAATGAGCAACAATATATTCCCAAATGGGTCGCCTGCACCTGAAAATACAGCATCAGATGCTGGCAAAGTACCCGAAGTGGTGAATGTACCTTTGGAATTAATAAGCAAGAAAAAGCAGCAAACACAAGCAACTGTGAAGTGTAGTAAATAAAGTTAAGAAAAATATAAAAAATGAAAAAAATAAGACAGTTCAAGGTAACTGAACAAGGTAAGAAAGAACTTCTGAACTCGACAGCTACCAAACGAGAAGTGATAGTTTGGTAGTGGCACACAGATGGAGCCACATGCATCATGTGATAGTGGTGCTTTCCTATTGGTGGAGAGGTAACACATGATGATTTAATGAGAGATGTGTTGGAACTTTGAATTCCAACAAAGGGATGATGAAGGCTTGTGGCATGCGTTTCTGAAAAAGTTTGCATACAGAGGGCAGCACAAATGAGAAAAGCTAATCTTGTGAGTGGAGGAAGAATACCTTATCAGAATTTCTAGTTTATGGCACCACAAAGAAATAAGATAGAAGGCTATAAAAATTAAGTTTTGTCTGAGTAATACCTATATTATAATGAATAATTTATGGAAAATTCCATACTTCTCAAAGGGGTGGTAAATAAATTAGAGAAGAGGAAAGACATAGAGGGAAAATGTCACAATTCTCATACTACGGGAGATTGAGGATTTTTAAAAATATTTCCTTTTAAAATTAAGAACTTAAACCTTATATAATATTAAAATTTGATTTGTTAAATACATCTTGATGCCAAGTGTATTTGTATACAATGATAATAAAGTAGTTTAATTAAATTAATGAAAAACTCTCACAAAAGTTGTGACATACACACTTTGACCTGTCTGTAGCAAGAGGGTTAAACCAAACATCTAGATGAAGTTTCCACAGATCTCAACCATCCACTGTAAGTAGAGATTAGCTTCCAAGACCATACTTAATCCTTTCCAGCTCAGTGGCAAGATAATGCTACTTCTGTATTTGCATTTATAAAAATCAGTAACTCGTACATGTTAACATCTGAATCACAGACACTTCAAACATAAAACATCCAAACAATTTCATTTTGGAACCTACATTTGATTTTTTTTTGTAAATTTACAATGCTATTACAATATAAGCCTATACCCACTGACCTGATTTCACACAAGCTTATTATCAATTATACAATCACAGGCCTAACAACACCATGTGAAATTTCCCATTGTTAAAGAAATTAAACATATATTAAAAGTAATGAAAATAGATAGTATTTATCTTACTTATAAAAGTTAAAAATGATGTAAAACTGTTTCAAGACAACCTTGGTGGTACCTTCAGCCCATATTGGGGTGAAGTCCACCAATAAGTCCCATGTTGTCCCAAAACATTATATTATAACACTTCATAGCAAAGTGAAAGCAATTAATTATATCAACAAAATAAACAAACAAGCAAGAAAACCGATGAAACTATTTCCTTCTTTCCATAAACAATAACAACAAAAAATAATATAGTTAAAATAACTAAAGGCATGTGATCACACAATAACTAAAAAATTTAGAACTTACTATTACAAACATAGAGGGATGGGAACCTTATGCCAAACAAATTGCAAGCAATATTTATGATTTTTCAAGCTTTAAAAGCTTAGAAATGGTAAAACAAAAATATGCAGGTAGTTGAATGTTACAGTTCTTGACAAAATCAACTTTAAAAATTCACTGATTTTTAGAATAATGTGAAATAGAAATAAGCAATACCAACAAAAAAAGGCTTGAAGTTATGTCTTGTATGTTGGTTAGTTTCAGCTTTGTAATCCCTAAATAAATATTACACTTGAGGGGAAAAACTTAGGTCAGGGTTATCAGTTTGAATTTATTTTTCTCAGTACTTTTATCCATAAGAAAGTGTTATGAAAATTTATATCAAAGTAAAATTCTAAATCTGAACATTTCAGCTACAGTCCTATTTGAATGTGATATAAAGGGTAACATCAGACAGACTGTTTTAAAACTTAACATTGTCATATGCCCCTGTAAAAAACAAGAGATACTAGGTTGGATAGAGTTAAGAATACCAAAGGTACCAAAGCCTAGTGGTGCTTCAATGGAAGACTTGACAGGTATGTAGTCAAATGGGATTGTTATGCTTTTAGTTTATTCAGCTATCTTTCTCAAGAACACAGTTGTGTTGATTTCAAAGAGTGGATGAAAGCTTGTGAACTTTTATTACCCTAAAATCATTATTCATAATATTTTTAATAATGCCAGGAGATACAGCAAGCTTCATCACACAGCATATTTGGGTTGGAATGTTCTCTTTTATTGTAATAGCTTTCAGTGTGCTTCCTTGGAGAACACTAAACAACTTCAGAAGGTATTTTTAAAATGTTGTTGTTCTGTGGCTTTACACTGTGTGAATATTTCTCTTTAGAAAAGTTTTTATGTTCCTTTAGACATAACCTCCCTGTTGTGGCACTGCTAAGTTGTGAAAAGAAACTACACCTCCTTCCACACCACTGCAATGTTCCTATAGACATAAGACTTTTTGTGGTGACAATGCACCACTGGAAAGTTGTGAACAGGAACGTGTTTAAACATCTTCTAAATAAGACCCAATTAATGATCTTGACATCACAAGAGTAATTTAAAACCAATTAATCTTGTGACAAACTTATACCAATCAGAAGTAATCTGTGATTGAAGCATATTCTAATTTTATTGCTCCTGATAAAAATGCTAGCTGTCACCTACATTATTCATGTTACAGAGCTGAATCTACATAACAACACCAGAACAATGAGACCTGTCACAATAAAACAAACAGGTTCAAGAATGTATGAAAAAGTAAACATAACAGTAACAGTTTTAACACTTCTAGACAAAGAAACAAATATACTGTCTAAAATTTCCTGTAGCAATACATTATGGGTAATGAAGCTTTCTTGTTTGATAAAATTCATACAAAGCTACAAGAGATCTCTAATTTTGTTAGACTATAAGCAAATCAGCTACTGAATACTGCCAACTTCCATCACACTAAATAATGGGATTTAGCTGCCATCCTTATAATGCTCTCAGAGTGGTGTTTCTTTATAAATAAGTCATAAATAAGATACAAACCACAGGGCCACACCATTAAAAATAGTTTCAGTACATATGTAATTGTCGGGTATAAAACTATCAAGTAATTTTACTGGCTGGTAAAATGATCTGGTATAATAAAACTTGATGTGACATTTATGTGATTAAACTACATAACTACTGAAAAATTTTATTGGCTGTTGAGAATGTGATATAATACTATAAAGTTAGATTTTTGTAAAAATAAAAAAAACTTTGTTTATTTTTTTGGACCTATGTCATTTAACTATACCTTTGTAGACTATATTGGTTTACTATCAATTTTACTTTGAATGTTATTATTCAAGACTAATTTATATTTATTTGACTGTGATCTAAACAATTCTAATGCCACCCAAGATTTTTTTATATTTGAAAAAAAATAACAACTGATGATGACATAGTATGTTACACCACTTGACGGTAACAACTTGCTGACCAAGAAGATCAAATGTTTCTTACCTCTGGACTCATGTTCTTAGTATGTTCTTTTAGCCGTGTCAGTGTTGGCCCCAGATGTATCTTAGAACAGTTTAATAAGACACTAAGCAGAGCATGAGTTGCACAAGAGTTTGGTACAACCTGTAAAACAAGAGAAAAGAATGCCTAAAGAACTCCTGTTTCCAGCATTCATAAGGCTTTAAAATGATACTTCTCAGATCATTCACATTACTTAGTTCGAGCTGGGAATGTGAAAGAAAACACTTTACATGATGTGTGTTTCATTAATAACATATCTTGTAGATTTGAAAATTATTCACTAACTGGACCTACTGATATGCTCGTGTAAGGAAAACATACAGTATGTTTGAAAACAAGCACTTTCAATACCATAAATATTAATCAATAACAGAGCTTGTATACCTGCTGAGCAAAAAATATTGAATTGACTGTTGCTTCATCTTCTACAAAACTCTCTTCTGTGACAACTACTTTCCGGCGACACCTGCGCTCTTCTATCCACTTGAAAAGAAAAATGAAGCCAAAAACAGGTCTAGAACAAAAGAAAATAAAGTCCAGTTATATTCATAATCCAGCTTAGGTTGAATCCATGATATTTAGTATGCAGTCTCTGTTGGAATATATTACACTCTGAATAAGCATATTTCAAGTATTTTAACATCGGTGTCTATTAATTATCCTTCTGCTAATCCAAACCAGATGGCAGTGGTAGCAAATTCACATCTTATTAGTAAAAAACCTATTAACATTAATGGATTACTGAAACTAGGATAATTGAGCAATTTTTGAACACAGAAGTTTGGCCCCTTCTTTTTTCTACACCCTGGTATAAAGAAAATGAATAATGCTCAGCTCCACATACTTCAGAGGTTATCAAATTTAAAATTAATCAATTTGTTGTATGCCACTAGATCTTTTAAATAACAAAGCTGTAAAATAATTTTATTTTTAGTTATCCTTATATATCATATAAAATTCAGTCTAGTTAGTCTGATACTACTTACAGAAACTAATTATGACTGGAAGATGTTTTCTAAGTGTTTTTTAATGGCAATATAGAAGTGCTTCCATCTAATTGATGGAGTTTACTGATAGGAATCACTATTTGATGAGTTTGAAACACAGGACATCAATTTACAAGTGACAAGAATGATAATATTTTGGTCAGTTTCGAGCATATGACATAAGTTTGTTTCTATGCTAAATAAGGTTGTCCAAGAATAAATAATGTTTTAAGTTAATCCAATAAACTGAATTTTACACAGTAACACACTAGATATTTGCTTAAGAACACAGATTTTACCTGAATATGTTTTATTTTCTTCAAATTACCAATTTATTTAAACCTTGAAAATTTTTTTAAGATAAGGAATCTCACCCTTCAATTGGTTTTTGGAGATCATAAATTTCCTCCACTTGAATTCCTTTTACTCCAAAGTCCTCCAAAAGCAATGTAAACAACCCTAACAACAAAAATAAGATTGTATAAATATTGCAATTGCACAAGTTGGTTGCATTATGAAAAACAACAATTATGTTTAAAAACACGAAACAGGCTTTTTATCTTTTAATTTAATTTTTTTTTTATTACAGTACCTGCACAATAACACTGACTTCACACTATTTTGGAAGATACTTTTCCATAATTTTCTACATTCTTTCTTCTAAACTTCACTTGGCATAGACACAATAGGGCAGATTTCTAATACATTTTATATTTGTAATAACGCTGATGTATGACATGTCAAGTAGGAAATTTGGTAACAGTGTTCTACTTGGCATAGCCATAATAGGGCAGATTTCTAATACATTTTATATTTGTAATAACGCTGATGTATGACATGTCAAGTAGGAAATTTGGTAACAGTGTTCTACTTGGCATAGCCATAATAGGGCAGATTTCTAACACATTTTATATTTGTAATAACTCTGATATATGACATGTCAAGTAATAAATTTGGTAACAGTGTTCTACTTGGTATAGCCATAATAGGGCAGATTTCCAACACATTTTATATTTGTAATAATTGATGTAAGACATGTCAAGTAATAAATTTAGTAGCAATGTTCTACTTGGCATAGCCATAATAGGGCAGATTTCCAACACATTTTATATTTGTAATAACTCTGATATATGACATGTCAAGTAGGAAATTTGGTAACAGTATTCTAAATGCTTGCAAGAGTTAGTAGACTGTAAATAACATGTACAATATGTTCCTCATAATCTTGACACAAGAAGTAAGAAAAAAGAACTAGAAATAAAAATATGTCTTCATAAATTATCACAAAATTTATTTAATAATACAAAGTTTCAAATTAATCAGAAATCAAAGTTCTTACATGCCCTAACCAAGTTTCAAGCAATATCTAATCTAAAACTCCGCATTCTTGAGCTTATCAGTCTTTACTTCTTTTCATTTGCAACCAGATGACAAGATTACAATTTAATGTTAGATGATTACTGGCCATTGAAAAAAACATGTGATCACCTTATTTACAAAGGTTGGCAGACTGATTTATACATAACTATAGTTACCACAACAAAGACCTCAGCACGAACCACCTGGTGGCAGTCATTTTGTCTTACTATGAGAATAATATTACAATCAATTTGAACAAGGTGTGAGTTGGCATCATGTATAAACAAATCAAAGGGACAGCTAAGCTCAATGACAGAGGAAAAGGTTTATAAAATAATTAAAACTGTTAATGAAGGGATACCACCTCACAATACTTTTGCTAATTAATATCTGTAATATTAGTTGGGAAAATTACTGACATTAAAATATACAATTAGATTAATCAATTATCAATAAAAATCAATTAATTATGTCACATAAAATAATTAACCAAAATCACAATTTAAGTGATTAATGTCACAAAAGTAATCAATTGGTGTTTTTGAACTCTCCACAAAGTGAAATATTGCTATTATGATTATTCATTATTATTTTGAATAAATTCAAGTTTGTTCAGTTTAACTGAAAGAAAGCAACTAATTGAAATCAGGGTTTCTGATAATTATTTTCATCTATTCTAACTATCTAAGCAATACAACTATTGCCATTATGTTTTTTTATTCTTCAAAACAAAGCTACAAAATAGGTGGTAGGTGCTCTGCTGACCACGGCTATCAAAACCTTTTTAAAAAACTTTTTAGAATTAGAAGTTTTTTAGTTATCTTATTTAAGAATAATTGATGTTTTTTGGCCATCTCATGTGAGAACAATCAATTAGTTGAGCATAATACAGTAGTGAGCCCATTGATTAATCAATTCACAAATTCCAAGCTCTATTTAACTCTAATAGTAAAAGTGTTATTGCTTGCTGGGAAAGTTAACTATATTAACACTTTCAATTACTTCTACTTTTAACTGGTTATATTAACAATGTTTACTTACAAACACTTGTTTGGTACACAGTTCTCATAATCACTCTTACAGTATATTTTAACACATTAATTTCACTATAAAATAATAACCATTTCACAAAGAATTAAAATAATTTATCTTACCTGGATCACTTTCCAGCTCCAGCCACCCTTCAGTCAGCTTGTTTAGGTCTACTGGCATTATAAAAAGCTGGTATGACCCCCACTTACTATGTTGCCAGTAGAGATACTCATTCACTGTAAGAGGAAATAAAACATTAAACTACTTTGAAGTAGTTTTCAAAATATTAATTTCTAACATGAAACATACAAGTTACACTTTAAATGTTGAATTAAATTTCAATTACAATATAGAAAGTACATAATGTACATAATGTTTAAATACTTTTTTTAAATGTACATGATAAAGTAACATTTTCTCCTATTTGAGACAGCCAATGATGATTTTAAGTTTAATGCTCATACCAATTGGAAATTATTCTTAATACAAGTCTAGTGTAAAAATCATAATACATAACACTGTTACATGGTATATTTTTTATTTAGAAAATTTGACTTTTACTATTTACTTTTTTTTTCTATTTGGCAGTCTGACGATTCATTGAAAGCTATAATAAAGTAACATGAATTATGTTGGTATGTTTATCCTTGTGTAATCAAGCATTCTTTATTTCTAGATAAGTTCTAAAAATTAGTTAAATACTGGCAGTAGTAGGCCGGTACTACAACTTACAAGGCACATTCAATTACACTTACAAATTAAATGATAACAACATTTCTTCAAATTCTTGTAATATTAGGTATATAATAATCACGCTGTCTACATACTAAGTATATTTTCTACTGCACTTATACAATGATAGAATGTATTATAAAACGCCACAATTCAAATTTAGTCCCCAAGTTAGGTTACTGCGTCTTAACGTTATTTTTAACTTTTAAGCCTCACGCCAAGCGTGTAGTGTTTAGGCCTAAGTTCATAAGCTACATTGGTTTACCACGAGTTTATGTATATAATATATATATTCATTTTCTTTTACTGGTTTTACTTTTATAAATATTCTACTTGCTTATCGAGAATAGTCAATAATCCTGCAACATTAAAAACAGATGCTACCTTATAAGCTTTCTCTGCAAATATGCTCAATAATAAGAATAATTTACAAGCTTCACATTTAACTTTAGTCTAGTTCCCTACACTACGAAATATAGTAATTCAATGTAAGCCAACAGCTCCTGATGGGAACAGACCTTATTTACGAGCAGTAACTATGGCCCACATGGCTATTTATTAATATATCCAGTATCATTAAACCGCTACTGTCAACATAAGTAAGACAAAAAGTATTTATATTATCTTGATATCTGAAAATATCCAAATGATTAAAATTTCTATTTAAAATAAAAGTGTTAAACGGAAGGATAAAACAACAAGGGATTATAGCTGAATATTAAGTGTGTAAATTTAGAATAAATTTAGATATAAAGAGCTTTGTGAGTCGTTGAAAGTCTGGTGTTTTTTAGATATGACTAAACTTTCTTTAATTAATGTAGAGTTCAAGGTCTGAAGATCCTGTGGTAATGACAGAGAAATCGTTATATGAAATATTGGACCCATGGTTTCAGAATAAGAACGAATGGATAAATGGCTGGGTTTAAGTAGTCGACAGTCAGTTCTGTTAGATACTCCTAAATATCCCTAGTTTTTAAGTGGCGTTTTGTTTTGTTAATGTACGTGAACTTACATTCACTACACGTATATTTATACATGAACCATGAACATAGAAAGTTAAGTAGTTGACTTTTGTATTAAAATAAGTTTTTAATGCGGAGGCTAGGATTGTATATTAGTATATATATGTGAGCTGAAATTTATGGTAGAAATTTTTTATAAGAGAGAAGAATTGTGAACCCATAAAAAGAAGAGAGATAATGAGGGGAAATTTGGGGACGGTGTGCACATTGGCTGGTGGTTGGAATTTGTGTAAAATGGAATAATTCAAACAAGGATTAAAAATTACGTTTAACAATGACACGACCAGATTACATTTGAAAAAGTGGGAGATAAAACTATTATAATTGGTGTATAGGCCAGTAAAAGTTATTTTATGATAAACAGATGTAGAAAGGTGTTTACGTTCTTTGGTAATCCTGACGTATAGAAATGGTAAAGAATCATTTTCTCCGAGTTCGGATGTGAACTTGATATTGGTGTGTTGGGCATTAAAGTGAGAAAGGAACTTAGAAACGTGACTCGGTTGTCGAAATAGTGAGAAAATGTCATCAATATTTGACTCTCAGATTACATTTTAAAAACCAAGACAATAATATATTAAACTTAATTTCTCTGGATCAGTTGAAAAAACTACCGAACTAATAACTAAATTTATATCTTCTCTCATTGATAAAAGGAATAATTTTAATTTTGGTATTAAATATCACCAGTTTTCTGATTTGGAAAATGATTTTGAGCATAAAATCTCCAAATTTCCCCGTTTTAAAGAAATTGTTTTTACCTCTTATTTTGATTTAAACATTTTCAAGTTGACAGAAGTTCAAAATAATATATTAGGATTCTTTTGGAGGATGCAATTTTGATAATACATTTGAAACTTCTGAACTTTATTTTTCATATGTTTATCTAAATAAATACAATAGAACTGTCTGTTGTATGTCCATGTAACTACTTTGCAGGGTATGAATGGATAATCACTAAATTTGATATGGAGGTTCATTGGACTCGGTTTCGAATCTCCACGGAGAACACAGTGTAGATAACCCATTGTGTAGATTTATGCTTAATAACAACAAACAACCTGAGTTTATATGTTATTGATCCGTAGTTATCAAAACATTTTATTCTGATGATTAATTCTTGTGTTCCAAATGTTTTCGTTTTTATACATATAATTTAAGGGCAACAAGGAACCCATCTAGGCTATCTCATCCACCGTACCAAACTTTAATAAAACACTCATAGCCAGACCTTATCATTCAAATATTTATCAAGCCATCCTTTAAGTTCACTTAAATTAACTGTATCTATCATATTTGAATACAATTCATTCCAAAGGCGAACCACGCTGTTAGAAGAATAAAGCTTTTTAGCTGAAAATGACTCCTACACTGTCAACATTTATATCTATGTCCTCTAGTCTTATAATTCTTACAATTAAGTTTGAAAAAAATATGATACATCAACACTTCGAATTCCCTTCAAACAATCTTAAACACCTCGATCAAATTCTCCTATATCTTCTTTTTACAAGAGAAAACAATTTCAGAGATCTTAACTTAAGATTTTACCTATACTCATAGGACAACCTTTCCGTCCTGATCTTCGAAAAAGCACTGATAATATCAAGATAATTAACCATATTTATTCTTTAACCTTCCCATTTTTCCCATTTCAAGCTTAAAGGTAATAATAACTCCACTTTCTCTCAGTAATTAGTAAAATTTACGATAAACATCGTAAAAATGTTGTTGTAGTTTTCGTAAATGCCATGTGTTACGAAGATGCTACTGTTAAATAGCATCTGGGATTCTCCTTACGGAACCACGTGTCGCTGATGACGCTCACTAGACAAGTGTCTTGTGATTGGTGTTCGAACACCGAATAGGTGGGTTGAGTGACTATGGAAGACGATTTCGATTGCAACAGTTGCTTCTAGGGTTTATGGCCGTTTGATCAGTGACTCAGTCGGGGGTGAAGAAGTGGGGAATGACAGCCTGCTGCGCGAGGAGATAAGATTTTCCTGACACTGAACGAACGTGAACATCATCTTATACTAATATTTTTAACCGATCAGTGTAACCAAAGTAAATTAATCAGAGTTCAGTGAGCATGGGCATTTCTAAAGATTTATAACACATAAAGTAAAAACAAAATTACCCATTCTGAACTAGAAAGTTTGCTTTTAGTAGGAAAGTATATACCTGGTCTTCCTTTTTAACACACATCAATGGAAATGTTACCTAATGGACTTGGCTTCTCTTCATCTGGAAAACAGAACTTCAGAGATGTTGGTGTTGCAGTAAACGATATTGAAGCTCCAGCAAACTCTTTGCGAGAACCCGCTACGAATTTGGATAACACCAAGGGAGAAAACTTAGTCTTTCGTAAGTCGATAATTTCAACAAAAACGGAGCACTGCTGTGACCTTTTCTGGAAAAAAAAACACACTACAATCACACTTTGTTGCGTTTTCTTGAGCTTTGGAATGTGTGTGGCTTTCTTAGGTCCAACTCTGTTGGACCTGGGCTGTAAGACTAGTACAGTGTTCGCTACCATGTCATGGGTGTTCTTCAGTCAATCCCTGTCTGTACTCCTAGGGTCAGTCTGTGGAGGGCTCTTACTCAAAAGGTAAGAAAAGTATTAACACATTAATTCAAAATAATAAAGTGGAACACTTCTTATAGATTGAACTTTTGGTAAGCTGAAGTAAGAACTTGAAAAGAATCAGATGAGAAATAATTTTCAAATTGATGATACCGAATTCTGATAGTTTAATGTACTCTTCAAATTTGCCATTGCCAAACTTTAACAAGTTTTCAATTGCTCTTCATCCTCAACTCGGATAATTATCACAATGTTTTTATTAGTAACAGTGAGTTTAAAACAACTCATGTAATTCTTAGTGAATTCTAAATAATAAAGAGGTTGAGTACCTTACATTGCAACGATTTTGGAGCACATATCGTCACCTCCGATAATGCTCTTTCTGACGACCACACATCTTGACAATAGCCTTGTAGCATAGTTTCCATTACCAAAGGGTACATCGTAAGACTGTCTTGTTCAAAGCACACCCCTCCTTCCTGTTACCTAGTATAATCCACAATCTACCTTATATACGAGGACGATGACTTCCCAGCACCTGTTTCAACACTTCAATTGCAAGATATCCACATATGCTATGTCCAGCGACTTGATTAATACGTATTTGTATGTAATATCATGAATACCCCTTTCAATCTACACTTGTAACAGATATGCAATGGTTGAAGATATGTTGTAGAAGCACCTTGTGTGCACGTAAGCTGTGTCGCTTTTCCAGATTGAAGTCCTTCTTGATAATGTTGTGACAGCTTTTGTCACTGACCAATGTGTGTGTGGGTTCTCACCTATTACAAAACGCCGCACTTTGTTTAGCACAGTTAAGGTACAATTTGTTACATGTCTCTTTATGGATAGTCCTGGAACACCATGCTGATCCACATTCTTTTGTTTTTCAATGCCATTAAACAAAAGGGGTATCGCCTTCTGGAAAATTCTAAATCCCTGATCTATACATATCTCTATCATTTGAGTTTATGAATATTTTGTGTCGGAAAGGGCTATTTTATATCCTTCTTAAAAACATTACCTACGAGCACCAAACAATGACAAATTATGGTTCTTATACATGTCGTTCCATCGAAACTTTTTAGAGCTGTGGTTGACATGTGACATGCTGATTTGTACATTAAAAATCGTTTTAATGGTCGTGTACATCAAAATAGTACTTCACAAAAGAGGGACATGCAAAAGTAACGATTTTAATGTGTTGTTAGATCATATATTTATAAATTTAAACTTGTGAACAAACTCTTTAACTATTGTCATACATATCGTAATACAAATATTATGTCTGAAACACCAAACTCAGGTCTTTAGCGGTAATCAGTGTATTTAGTATTGCACTAATACTGCTATAAATCAAACTACTTTCAAATTCAAAAACCGTTTTTTCATCATACAGTACTTAATAACTGCTTATAATCTTGTAAGCATGATCATTAAAGTACTTAAAAAAATTCACTTTAATACATTAGAGACAAAAGCTATTAAAATGAGCACATAATTCTCAAAAATTTGGTTTACAATACACGTCCTACTTCAAAAGTACTCTGTTCATTATAAAAATCAAAGTATCCAAAAATGGCAAACTGCATTCTGTTCACATTCAACTGTAAATTTTATGTTTGGCGTTTTTTTTTGTTTTTTAGTTGGTCTTTTGAAAAAGCATAGTACTAATGAAAGACAGTTGTGAATTTTCTAATGAAATATAAAATTTAATATTTGATAGTAAGGTTTAATGTAATAGTTTTGATATATAGTCTTTATATACTATCATTCCTTTGGAAGAAACTGTCCAGTTGGTTACATACATAATTCTTAATGACAAATCAGTTGTTCATTCCAACATTTTAAACTTTGAAGTTAATGAAATTTGTGAATTAAAAATTTCTTTATCTCTCCAATTGTAATCTTTATGATCAGATTGATGATGTAGCTAGGAGATCTACACTGACAGATAATGGTGTTTTTTGTTTTCATAACTGTCTAAATGCTTATAAATCACTATATTATCCCATATATGTAGATCATACTTTTACTGTTTTCAACTTCAAAGATCCAAATAACGTGCCCCCCCAGTGGCATAGCGGTATGTCTGCGGACTTACAACGCTAGAAATCGGGTTTCGATAGCCCATTGTGTAGCTTTGTGCTTAACTCCAAACAAACAAACCAAATAACGTTCCTTAACTTTAGGGCTGTTTAACACAGTAACTATTTATTGTTGAATATCAAGATAATATACTTACATTTCTGGATAAATTGATATATAATTGTGATTTTTAATGTAACAATTACAATAAGGAAACATTTATTTTAATTTTTAAAGTTATATACCAAACGTGTTTAACGAAAATCTATGAAGGTTTTAGCCAACTGTGCATATAAATTCTTCAAGGTTTTTAGGTTTTAGCCCATTGTGCATATAAACTCTTCAAGCTTTTTAAGTTTTAGCTCACTGTGCTTATAAACTATTTAAGTTTTTAGACTTTACACCAATGTGCATATAAGCTCTTCTAGCTTTTTAGCTCTTAGCCCACTGTGCTTATATACTCTTCAAGCTTTTTAGATTTTAGTCCACTGTGCATATAAACTCTTCTAGCTTTTTAGGTTTTGCTCCACTGTCCAATAAACTCTTCAAGCTTATTACATTTTAGCCCACTGTGCTTATAAACTCTTTAAGTTTTTTTGGTTTTTGCCCACTGTGCATATAAACTCTTCTAGCTTTTTAGGTTTTGCTCCACTGTCCAATAAACTCTTCAAGCTTATTACATTTTAGCCCACTGTGCTTATAAACTCTTTAAGTTTTTTTGGTTTTTGCCCACTGTGCATATAAACTCTTCTAGCTTTTTAGGTTTTGCTC